TTCCCGTTATCCAACTAGTGTTCCTTAACCCAACTAGTGTTCCCAACTAGTGTTCCCTTTACCCAACTAGTGTTCCCTTAACCCAACTAGTGTTCCCGTTACCCAACTAGTGTTCCCGTTACCCAACTAGTGTTCCCTTAACCCAACTAGTGTTCCCAACTAGTGTTCCCTTTACCCAACTAGTGTTCCCTTAACCCAACTAGTGTTCCCTTAACCCAACTAGTGTTCCCTTTACCCAACTAGTGTTCCCTTAACCCAACTAGTGTTCCCAACTAGTGTTCCCTTTACCCAACTAGTGTTCCCTTAACCCAACTAGTGTTCCCTTAACCCAACTAGTGTTCCCTTTACCCAACTAGTGTTCCCTTAACCCAACTAGTGTTCCCTTAACCCAACTAGTGTTCCCTTTACCCAACTAGTGTTCCCTTTACCCAACTAGTGTTCCCTTAACCTTCTTCAGACGCAAGACATTGTTTGTAAGGGCAGTACATGTAAAACACTGGTACTGATAGTGAGAGCCTTCCGTTGTCTGTACTACCATGTACTTACAACGTACTCAGTATCTCTTTTACACAAGTCACCTTCCCATTCACTTTGTTTCGAGATACAGCATCTGATATAACCCTTTGTGCCTAACGGTATATACTTCGTACCCTCTTAGTGAGATGTATGGAAACCTTTCTTTGCCAATTACCAGATGCTCTGCCTTGCATCAACATTTAAACTACTGAAAAGACAATCGTGTGTAGCAATATTTAATGCTAGATATGGTGTTAAAACTTTATGTTACTGAAGAACTTTTCTCTTGTTAGTTGACTTATTTTCATAAACTATTTAGTCTCAAGTATGTGGTCACAAGAGCCAAGTCTACCCCGAAGTTCCCTCTGATTGTGTAAGATTCTCAATAATGTACAGTTTGATTATTCTTCCGATTGATAAATAGGTATAAATGTTCGATTTGAAATCAGTGGATAGAAACGACACTACCTGTCTGTCTGATATGTGCATAGAAGAACTCAGACTTGAGAAGCCGATGTGTATCATGTCGTGAGTTACCTGTTTGGGGACATTACAATATGTCCATTAATGCCCTTGTTCTGCTTCAAGTCAGCAATAGACAGAGGGAGAAGTGTCCTATGGACCTTGTAATAGAAACGCTTGTCGATCCCAGCAGGCATTCATTGGCCATGTACTGCAAGACACATGTCTCTCAAGTACCTGCAATGACAGACAGATATGTCCTTGTGGTCGTCATTTCTGCAAGCGACATTGATGCATAATGTAGATCTGTTCCTCCATACATGTAGTAGGTGACAGTCTGTCATGGAGGGAATTTCCTTTCCCAACTCAATGAATTGGGCAATGACCTGGCTGCTTTAAGGTTTTGATGAAAGTTGTCTTGCTGCTACTGCTGCAACAGTGTAGTTTTGTTTTTGAAACCAAGAGATGTTTTGACATCCTTTGGAAATGGTTTCATGAGTATCCCCTTTGAAAACAGGACTTTTTGAAAACGGAACTTTTTTGTGGATTGTCATTACTTTAGTTCTGAGTCAAGGTCAAGCAGTAGTTTGTAGGTCAATAAAACACAGGTCATGCACAGTTTGAGGTCAATGTTATACTAATTGTTCAAGTAGAATTCTGTCAGTTATATATTATGCCATTGTGTTTGTGGTTATTGACATAACTAGAACTAAAAGGACAAATTTAGGTCATACTAAAAGAATGTTCACATACCAATTTCAAGAAGTGTCAACTGTTGGTGAATGAGGCATGCACTAGTTGTCCTTATAGGGGCTAGAATTTTCTCGACCTCTGGACCTCATTCTCGACCTTTTTAAGCGACCTTTTTCTTGTAGGTTGTAAAAGACAAATTACAATCAACAAAAAGCAAAAAGAATTGCATGGAATTCTTTTCACAATTGAAAAATAATTATATGATGACATAATACAGATCTTTTTATTAAAAATATGGAAACTTGGAGAATGAAAATTTATTGAAAATAGTTTTGATTGAATCTGATTAAGTTGTTGATTCAATGTATGAAATATGCTCTTGGATTTTTTAATCTCATACTGCAATGTGTAGCTAATACATTTAGATAAGGTTGCTCTAGTAAATCTAATGATTGAATGTCTCATATAGATATATATGCAGTTGTTTATCAAAGATCTGGTTGAATGTATCACAGATTATATTATGCATGTTATGTATTCAACATAATCCAGTTGTAACATACAGGTAATACATCAAGAATCAATATCTGAAAGAATGAATGTTCAAAAGAAATTGGGTTATGATTTAATAAAGACCTTGTTTACCTCATACAATTCCTGCTATAGTGTTTCCAGAGCCCTGAGAAATGAGTTAACTGCCAGAGTCACGCCTCTTTCACCCATTAACTTTGATTTATGCTGATCTGGCAAGCTTGTTTCCCAATTTACACCTTCCAGTTACACAAGAAGGAATTTGCTACCTGATTTAAATCAGATTAATCATGAGAATATCGACTTTATCTCATAGCTCCCCAGAGTGTGATAGAAACACCATGATTAAGAATCTGTGGCGAGTCAATATAACATACATATCCTATCTTCAAAGGCTGATGTAGGGTGGCAGGGAAAGGAATCTGATAACAAGGAACATTTGGAACTCTCTGTGTCAGCAGTTATATTTATTACTGTAGAAAGTTGTTTTTGGGGAGAAATGTGAAATTTCTAAAGTCTCCGAATGTCATTTTGTGATGTAATCAGGGTTGTACTGTATAACCTGACTAGACCATAGCCTGGGTTGTTTTCTTCCTTTGCTGTCTGGTTGGCTGATGTTTATGGTGAAGTGAGAGACAGAATCCCTATAAACATACATTAGGGGCGTGTTTTTGAAATTTGTAGTTGACACGAAATGTTAGCTGGGGTAAAATAATGATTCTTTCAACAAATTGAAATGTACACTATGCATTGTGGTTTGCTTCTAAGCATCTTGCATTGTGTTTGACATTTCGAACATTTGCCTTCTTAAAAAGTGACCTGTTTTCAAAGGAATGAAGATTATTGTTTTAACAGGAACAGATGAAGAGTAAACTATTTCAGATTTCCATGATATATCTGTTTGGGGTTGTCAGTTTCATACTTAAAGTGGGTGTGACAAGTTACAAAATGTTATTTGTGGATAAGTAAATATTTAATGGGAATGGCAGAGAATAAACAGTCCACAAAACAGACTTTGTTGGGCCAAAAAGTGAAACAGAGGTGAAAATGTTATGAGTGGATGACTGAAAATTACCGATGACACCAAAAAGAGTAAGCATGCCCTGCCCTTCATCAATACTGGTAGCGAGTGAGTGAGTGGTGAGTGAGTGAGTGAGTGAGCAAGGATTTATGCTGTTTTTGCAATATTCTAGCAATATCATGATGAGAGACATCAGGAATGTGCTTCACACATTGTAACCATGTAGGGAAATGAACCCAGGTCTTCCAAGTGACATGAGCAAATGCTTTAACCACTAAGCTACCCACTGCCCCATATCAATACTCAAGTTGCTGATGACCAACCATAAGCATAGTCATTTATCATTGTATTTATATATGAATTACTGTTTCTTAGAATTGTCAATAAGTAGTCTCACAGGAGACATAAAGATGTAATTGACATGTTTCCATGGCCGGAGGTGTCTATTCCCTGCAGTATTATTGTGCAATCAAGTAAAAAGTCTTAGTGATGGAAACAGAAAATGTTTAAAAAGACCTTATCTTAATGTAACATACAAGAGATGATTGATGAAGCAACCATTACTTGTCAGTAATGTTTAACTAATATCAAAGTCCGGCAGGACTTGTGTCTATGACAACCTCTGTGTAAATACACTGTCACAATATCTGCAGCTGATGTATTTGCTGGTTTCCGCTCATTCAGACCAGAAAAAGACAAACTCAACACTGGAGTTTCTGACATACCGAATCAACACATCATATCAGACTGATGAATGTGGCGAGTAGCATATGTCAAACTAGTTGTACAGAAAATAGTTTATTTATTGTGGTAAGAAAGTAGTATCTCTTTGTTAGTTGAAGTATATATGATTAGAGTGTGGGGGTTATGTTTGTGGGGTGTCTGGGTGTCAGATAGGCACACAAGTCATGTGTGTTTAGTATTGTGGTTACCACCGGTGTGTTACCTTGTCAGAGTCAGGAACAACTACACAATGGTTTGTGTGTCTACTGCTGACAGGGTCCATGTACATGGAGATACAAGTGTGCACCATACAGCAGGTTATATATCACAGTGTTGACATGTTGCTGATAATTACAGGGATAGAAATGTACAGTTTCCTCAAGTGTGCCAACTAAGAGAAAGGTTTCAATCTATCATTTATAAAGGGTTAATAAAAAGCTGTTGTAAATTGGAAAGTTGCCCTGAGTTTCTTTGAGATTGATAATATACATTTTCATTTTTGAGTGGGGTTTTTGGGTAGACTAGTGGTTAAAGTGCTGCCCGTCGCACTGAAGACCCTGGTTCGATTCCCCACATGCGTACAATGTGTGAAGCCCATTTCTGGTGTCCCCTGTCGTGGTATTGCTGAAATGTTGCTGAAAGCAGCGTAAAACCATTCACACTCACTCTCATTTTTGAGTACACAAATGTATTGTGTAAATCATTCTATTCATTAATGCATGTCCTCATGTTAATCACTGCCCATGGGCAGCAGGTTTTTATGTGCAGAGGTCTCTGACTTTTATAATAAATGTTGTCACAAGGTTGTGTTAAAATATGATTTTGAAGTGTGTCCTTCAGGCAGCAAGATCATGTGATTATGCCTGCAGAATACCTTAATGTTTTTAAGACCAGGTGTCAAATGTAATGGCCATGTATTTCTGAGGGATTTGTTGGTTTGGTCAAGTGGTGAAGCCTTGGAGGCCCCATGTCACAGGATAATGACTGACACACCTTGGAAAGTTTGAGTATATCGCTTACATATCCCTCACTCACTCTCATGCTCTTGTTTCAGATGGGATTTGTTCACAGCAATGGAGAGGAGTATTTCATTGAGCCTGTGAAGGGCCACAACAGTAGCCACAGCCCGGAGCATCCACACATTATTTACAAGAGATCAGCATTGCCTGCTAGTCTGGATATTGCCAAGGCTCACCTTGAGGACAAGGAGCATCAGTCAGAACAATCTTGTGGAGTTTCAGGTAGGAGCAGGTATTTGATTCTTCTGTTCTGATACTGTGTGCCAGCTGGTGGCGCTGGTGGGAGTGTGCCATGATGAACATGTCAAGCACTGAATTGTACACCTTGTGTATACCATAGCCAGATATGTAGACACTGAGTGCAAAGGCCTCAGGTTTTGCTCCAAAGTGGCGAACTGGACTGAACGAAGGGGCAAGCTGGACTGAACCAAGAGATGAACTGTAGATGAAGGAACACATTCAACATGGCATTACATCATCCTGAAAACAGAAAACTACATGGGTATTTTTAGTCCCAGTTCTGACTTGGTCCTTGGTCTCTCAGCGTGAATCACATGCCCAGCAACTGGGTACAACCTGAATCATCCTTGACTCTCCTCCATTAGACAGACAAGTCATGACATCATTTAAATATTATGAAAAGTTGTTCTATATGTACTCCATCAATAAGACTAAATTCTGTAAAGTGAGTGAGTGAGTTAATATTTAATGTCACATCGGCAATATCTCAGCCATATCGTGACAAAGTCTGTAAAGACTGAACTCAGTTCTCTCATCAATAAGTAAATGGTATTTTTAACGACCTTTTCATTTTCATCAGGTATATTTCATGATAAAGGTAATTTGCTATGTATTGCCATGATTACAAGTTTCGTTGTGTTATAAAACTGAATAAGGAACCATGGACTCAAACATGAAAGAAGATTCAAAAGAGATACTTTTTCCCAAATATAACTACCGGTAGTTCTGAATTGTTTTCCGAACTTTATCATATAAAATGAATTCCAAACTTTGACTGTATGAATGAAAGTGTATTTCTTGATTAATCAGGTACTAGGTGTAGCATGCACTGTGTGAAACTCTTACCAGGATGTGTAAGCAAGTTTTAGCATTAATCTTGTAACAGTTTTGTACCTGTTGATCTGCAAATTAAGCCATTGGGATTGTTAATCTAGATTATATTTTCATCAAATCATCATCAAACTTAGCAAAAAAGGCAGTCATGATGAGCATGTTGATTGGAACTCAATAAAGTGAAACAGGGCAGGACTGATCATATTGATGACAAAACTGTCTGTAACAGTTCTGATAACATTTAAAGTGTACTGGAGTCATTGTTGGGGTGTTTTTGCAAATATTTTATATACTATGTTATATCTTTTATGTAGACATGGTGCATGATAAAATGAATATACTTCTGTGACCTTAATATATATTCATTTAATATCCATCAGTTGTTATCAGAAAGTAATCCTGTGTTTTCTCTAGGGGTGTAAAGATTTGGGTTTCCTAACTTTTATGCTCACTTAAACATAAATTAAGTACTTAGGGAAATTTATATGCTACAACACATAGTGCAAATGTTATGATATTTCTTCTTGAAGTAAAGTTGTAGTTGAAATTATGGTTGCGGTTTAATGATCTTTGATTAGATCTTATTCCTCATGGAACAAGTGGATTGTATTTTCACAAGTTATGGGTCAATGTTGCAAGATGGTAAAAATAACTTCGGCACCGAGATGTGGTTAGGCTTTCTCAAAGTGTATAAATTATGTAGCATAGACCTACCTGGCAAACACTTTGAGAAGCCTAGGTCAAGGTTAAGACCAAGGACAAAGGTCAATGTCATTATACTGGGTTTTTAAAAAAAATATGATCATATCATTGTAATCATTTGTGTCTGAGACTTCTAACAACATACATTTGTATATCAATGTTTTTTATGTCAAAGGTCAAGGACATCTGTCAGGTCATTGTGAAAAGGGGTCTATTATTCATTCCCGTTATCCTAGCACCAGACAATTGTTGCATCTTGTCCAAGTAGAAAGGCATGGCATGTCTATATCAGTAGGGTATTGAGTTTCAGGTAAAGTCAAATTTAGACCACCAAGTAGACTAACACCTAGTCTCTGAAATGAACATATTTTACAAAAAAAAACCCAACAACTGTTCATAAAAAAATCATAAAATATAATGAAAAGGAGCCCAGAGACTTTCTTCATTTTTCAGACTTGCCACATATTCTAGAATTGCGTGGCCTTTCTTGGATATATTTCTTTTGGTGTCTGTATGACAGACTAACTGCCCAGTTGATTTCATCGTTGGTACTTCATGAGTGAGTGAGTGAGTGAGTGAGTAAGCCGCTAGCAATATTCCAGCAATATCACGGCTGGGGACACCAGAAATGGGCTTCACACATTTTACCCATGTGGGGATTCGAACCCGGGTCTTCGGCGTGACGAGCGAACGCTTTAACCACTAGGCTACTCCACCGCCCCTGGTACTTCATGAAATACATTGCATGTTTTTCATTCTCAGTAACAAAATTCTTTCCCTGTTGGGATTCCAGGTTAGAATTATTACCCAAAAATCTTTGCTCATAATGAGAAACAGGGGTGAGGCTCAGTGAGTTGGTTCATTGCAAGTCATCGTAAAAACGAATGGCGTTTCGTTGTTCATAATATCAATTACTGAATTATCTGGTCGAAACATATTTATTTACATGTCAATGTCATATAACTGGAATATAGCCGAGTGGGGCATTAAACCCCAAACCGATGCACCTAGTAAGCCCTTCGTTACCACCAGTCATTAACGACTCTTCATCCAGGATGGAGTGGCGCTACGATAAGTTCTGACACCATGGGCGTTGATATGATAGGAGATTTCTGGGTACCTTTTCTGTACTTGGTAACAGTTGATATTACAAACATTCCTAAGCTAGCTGGCGAAATTGAATATGGTTGATCACATGAAAATTGGAATCATGTTTTGTATTTTATTTTACTGAGGCTGACAACTGCACTGACACCATTCTCATACTCAGTTAAAAATGTGTTTTTTCACGATCTTTGAAATATTTACAAAGTGCAAGTAAAATATTGACAGGTGTTTGGTGATAAACTGTTAGATGTGGTTGAAGGGGAAATGTGCACCGATTGTTGTTGTAAGAAATAAACATGTCATGCACTACAATCTCACTTGCTTGAAACTGATATAAACACTGCTGTCTGCTAGAGTAAACCATGTCTTTCATCACTGATAAACTATAATTTGAAATGTACACATTAGAACATGATCCCAAATCTAATTACAAGCATCTAAATTTCAAATATAGTGAATTTGACCAGTATTAGTTGAAATGAGGAGCATTTCAGAGGTGTAGATCAGTTATGGAGATTATTTTTAAAGTGTTGGACCTTTGCTTGAGATGTTTATCGAGGAACATGACCAACTGAATTGCCGCTCTGCAGTTGCCACTCATATCATGGAACGTGTTAAACAGCTGTTATTACACCTTGAGTGAAATATGAGATGATACATGATCCTTAATGCTTTGATCATGCATGAACGTGTTTATGTTATGTAAGATATCCCTGAAAATACACTCTCTATAATTGGTAGGGGAGAGAACTAATAACCTGTCTCAATTTCAGTTTATATTTATTTAATGTTCTCTGATGACTTTCTGGCATCGAATCCTGGTATTACTACTGATGAGTAGTGGCATCATTCCCAAGTGCTGCTTACTGTATCTTGAAAATCTAGTTTAACAATTTTTAAGATGTGGAATCAACCCTTTTGAAAGTGACATATGTCCTGTGGGACTCACAAGACATGGGCTTGGTGGGACCAGCACTTACAAATTTCAAGGGTCCTTAGAGGAAAGAAAAGATAAGATAAGATAAGATAAGTTAAGATATTTTATTGTGCAAACGTTCCATGCAGTAACAGTGACACTATTTTATAAACTACATAAGGCCAGACCAATTATATTTCTTGTTTTACGGATTTTTGATCTAAAAAAACCTAAAGGCATAAGTCAAAATAAAAAAAAATAAAAATCACCAGTCAAAGTGATATTCCTTTTAAATACTAAAACTATTTTACTTTTGGCAATTTATGAAGTGTATATGAGTCAAAAAGCAGTCTAGAAAGAATGTCTTGTAAGTTTACATTTTTGACCAATAAAAACATTAAGATTTTATATTTTGGAAAATTCATTTGTATTTTTTTTCTTATTCTTGAAAAAATACGACCGGCGGATCCTGAAAACAAAAAAATAAAATTGGTCTGGCCTAAACAAGGTATATAATGAATCTTATATATATATGATGAGTAACAAAACATATAATAGTACAAATGTGTATAATAATTGCCTCGGACAATCTGGAGATCTTCTATATTTCTTTAAAGTGGTACATGTGGTAGCAAATTATTTCTATACTATTTGGATCATTATTTCTAAAAAGGAGGTTAAATTTTTCTGTGGTAGTAAGGCTGAGAAAGTTATTAATTTTAGAGGAAAGGGAGTTAAATAAGGAGTTTCTTGCGTCTGAATATTTAGTACAACACATAAAATGGTGTTCTTCATCCTCAAGGACAGAGCATTGATCACAGAGACGGTCCTCCAAAGGTGTAGGTGGTCTTGTTCTTCTACCCAGTTCAATTTTTAGCCTGAAATATATGATGGTCCAGTAAAGTATTGAAATGGTGTGATGTACTAAACCATTAGATGAACCCATTATTTCGATTGCAACAAACTTTATATTATTTGTCAAGAATTTGGAACAGTCTGGGGTATGGGCCAGGGTGCATATTTTTTTCTGCATCCATTCCATACATTTGTACATGCACATCATTTCTGCATCACTTAAAACTCTTCCCTGCATTTATATGTTCTGTGAATGTGTTAAGTAAACATATTTCAGTTTATTATTTGCAATGGAGAATCTGAAGTATTGGATCATTTGAATATATGTATCATGGTAGAGGAATCATCTAGGAAAACCAACTTCTATGGATAGTCAACTTCGAATTCTTTATTGCAATGAGTGAGACTTTTCGGTGTAGGTACTAACACCGTTATCAAGCAAGTGATATCACATCACTTCTCTCAAAGAAGGTATCGTCTAGCTTGTGACGTATGGTAGTCTGTAAAACAATTGGACTCTCTGGCTTAGTGGGTAAAGCGTTTGCTCATCACACTGAATGTCCAGATT